GGGGGGGAAGAATCAGTTTGTCGGAAATGAAATATCTGAATGGAGAAAATCACGCTCGACCGTAAAAGAGATCCTTCCTCTTATTTAAGATTGTCGGGGGCACGTTGTCGCTACCTGTATCACGGCGGTATACGCTCATGTAGCCATTACGAACGCCGGGGCTTCTCCGATCTCGCTCGCGGCGGCTCGTCCGATCGAAGAGGATTATTCGCCTATTATGGATTCGTGACTATCGACACGACCGGCCGCTGCGCCGATGAACATTCTTCAAATTTACGCCAAAACCGTATCCGTTTTTCGTACAATCTCATCTCGGCCGTGTCATCGTATAGTTAATGCGTTTGATTAAAACGTGACTGTCTGACTTCTCTTTATTATTAGAGAACGATTTCTCGATCGCAATAATAAGCAATATTATTTTGACAGCTCGGCAAATGTTGAAATTAAGACGTGAAATTGAAATCAAAGAGATGCGTCTAAATGGAAATGTAACTACTACGAAAAAATGGATTCCCGTCACGTTGATATATTGAATAACGTATTTAGATAAATCTTACACTTGATGTGACGAAAATAAAAATTCTTAGATATTTTTAATATAATTGCGATCACGTAATTTTTTTATCGGCACGTAATTTTTTAAGTGAACATTCATACGTACAATCTACAAAGAAAACTGAAAAAAGTTTATTAACGATTACGCGTTCCGTTCTAATTTACTATTAAATGAACATTGATATCAGGAATCAATTAATTACACAGTCTTTTAATTTAAACTGTTCCTCTCTTACGGAACAGAACAAACTGCCATCTCATTTTCTTCCTGAAAGAACGCCGATTGAGGTAAAAGTAAATATTCCGAGATTACGAGATGATTGCAGTTTCTGATACGTGTCCTTGAACTCGCTGTTTGAGTGGCGTTTAACATAACTCGCGCGTAATAACTCGCTACTTATGTTCCATTCTGGATTGGCGCGGGTATCTCGAGGGATACTTTCGCTCAAATAATCAGGCAGAAAGCCAGCATCGTATTCCTCGTGGACGGATTCTCTCCTCGCGTGAGACGCATTTGCGGCCAATGTATTACAACGCGAACCCCGTTATATGCGAGCGCTGCAAAGCGACCATCGTGTCAATAAAAATAATCGACTGTCGAGAACTCGCGTAGGATATTTGTCTGTAGCGGGGGAATGCGCATTTATTTGGCCAGTTCTTGCGAATAGCAAAGTGTTCGGATAATGTGTGCGTGTGCGGGAGAAAGAGAGAGAAATTAGACAAATTTATATACCTTCGTCTCCCGGAGGAAATTACCGTAGATAGAGATAATACTTGTAGGAGAATGTATTCCCTGAATGCGCACGCTAATGATATTATAATTCTCTGGCTAAACTTCTCTTTTTTTCTTTTTTAATTTCGAGAAAGCAACGAGAGATATCTTTTAGAACCCGTGGAAAAATGTCGCGTTAATAATTGTTAGATTTTTATTCCAATTATATGTGTAAACTATTGGTACCACGAGAAGCGATCTTTATTCTTAAAGATCCTTAATCAAAATATCAGATATAAGATACAAGATGAGATGATTATAGAAAGAATATTCGATTATGTTTAGAATTGTTGTGTAATTTTTCGATTATATATGATAGTTTTCTAATTATTTTTTTGCACGCACATATATTAATTCTTGCATTGCGGAATAATAGTTTCAAATTATATTTTTATATTATTTTAATGTATTTTTAGAATAACAAATGTGGCTGTGAATATTATTATTTAAAGATTGTAAAGAGACATACAGTCGCTACGTGAGTGAAGCGTTTTATCGGTGCCCTCGACTTTTTCCAAGAAACCAAAGGCCTCGGTAGACGCTTCGGCAGTGAAAGGATTGAAGATGCAAGAATATGTAGGAATCTATGTAATGTACATACGTTTAATGGAAAGTGGGCGTTAGCAAATTTAGTTAAATTCTAATCAAAGTTATATATCTATAATATAATTCAAAATATATTGCCGAACAATAAAAAAATCTAAAGCAACATCTAAAGAACGTCAGAATAATTAAGACAGTTTTTATACTTTACAATTTTTTTTAAATTTATATATTTAGTAACGATATGATCGAGATGAAAGTATCTCTGCGATCTCTTTGTATAAAACTATGTATCAAAAACTTAGAATCACAGTCATCACATTTGAACGTGGGATTTACGTATATGCATTTTGCAGTCTTCTAGAATCTCGAGTTTGATTACAAATGATATAATGTAACACTGACTCACCACCAGTTGGCTTGCGCGCCGCTTTGCCACGCGACGATCAGCAAAGACACGAGCAGGTAGCTCGTTGACATGACGAGCGTGCGTTGCGTGCGGCACAAATCCCGTGGACTCTCTTTTAACCGAATGCCGCCGAATCCGTATCACGAGATCGAGATCTTCCCGTGGAAGCGCGAAAGGAGAGGAGACTACGTGGCGCGTTCTCTCGTGGCTGGTCCTTTCTCAGCCTCGCATTCTTACACGCGCCACCGACGATGGCCCGTGTCTCGCATCTCGTTCCTCGCGAACGTGAACCGAAGATCCGGCCGTCGGGCGACGAACAACGACGGATCGACGACGTGAGCGTATACACCGGGATCGAGCGATCTCTGATACGCGCGCGTCCGGAGCCCGGAGCGGATCGACACCCGCCGCGGCAACGTCGCGGGTACCCGCGTTCTCCCTTTCTCGCGTTCCTCGTCTCGCGATGCTGCTTGCCCGAAAGACGTTCTCCCGACCCCGTTCTCTTTCGTCTCGTCTTACATGTTTCCAGTAACGACGCGATGCGAAGCGTCCCGAGTCCGTAAGTCAAGTCAGTCAACACGCGGACAGCCCTGTCAACGGTAAATCGCGCTCGTCGACCGCTCACCGCTCGAGTTCTCACGGTTGTCTCGATTTTCTTTTTGGTCGGGTGTCGATTCGCGGACGCGAATACGGCCGATCTCGAACGTGAACGAGATATACGAGATATATCCGGAAATTTAAATCCGGGCGAAACTTTCGCGTCGCAGAAATAATCGCGAGACGGGAAGATCGTCGCGATCGGTGATCGCACGGAGCCGAGAGACGACGGACGAGATGACGCTCCGTGAACGTTCGCGTACGGACTGTGTGGTCGGTAGTCACGAGGAAAAGGGCAACGGGGCTCTCGCAATGGGCGGAGTCGTCGTTCGTTCCCGGCTCGCCGATTGGTCGCGTTACCGAAGAGCCTCCGAGGCTCCACTCGCGCTAATTAAGCATCTCGGCGCAGCATCCCGTCGCCGGTCCCGAGCGCGTACGTTCGCTCGCTCGCGATTCGTTCCCTCGACTCGTGCTTGTCTCTTGTCTCTCTCCGAGCGCGACTTACGCAAAGTAAGGGGCCGCGGTTTTCCATCGTGCCACGATGTGACGTACCCTTTGTCGCTGGATCGAGATGATTTCCAAGTAGAGGATATTGAGAGTAAAAAAAAATGTACGCGTATATTTCTTTAAATATCGATATATAATGAAAACTGTCGATCTTGTAAGAAGTGTTATTGTTCTAGATAGTCGTGGATTTTTTTTTCATTTAGAAGCAAAAATTTAAAATAATGTCAACATTTTTGAAATTATTATTTTTGCGTGATGATAATAAATGAAGATTTATAAATTAAGCGATTGATATTAATTCCCCGATACGAAAAGTTGGATAATTCATAATCTTCTTTGAAGGAATATACGTTCTCTTTCATAATTATTTATAAAAGAAATTTTAATTATGAGCGAATTATTATCTTTTTATTTATCTATGAAAAAATAATTTCTTGGCAAAAAAATATTGTTGGCGTAATTACTGTTTTGATTTATGTCAAAATTGTGAAAGTTGAATATAACGTTGTGTAAATATGTTCAAACGATGGAAAAGGTAAAAAGATCGAGCGATTTCAAATATTTAACCCTCTATTGTCCACAAATTATTCTCTTTATGAATTTAAAAGATATTTTTATATATAAAAATATAAGTTAAATAAAATAATATAGAGAGCAGAAACTTGTACTTATGAATACACAAAAATTAGAAAAATATAAGTTTTCATATTATACATATATGTATTTCTTTAAAAAATTATAGTTATTTATCCAAAATTATATATCTCTCGAAAACATATATTACGTGCATTTTGTTATTCGAGTAGAGGATCCGAAAAATACGCTAAAGAATTTTAATACTGTGTTTAAATTATTCCTCAGCCATTACGATAATGGAAGTAGGAGATACTTGTTTCCTTTGAAAAAGAGCAATCATTTCGCTACTTCGTTCTGTCAGTCACGAAGAGGTTTGTTTAATCGATATTGATATATATATGTGTCTATTGAAAGTTAGTTTTTCTTTCAATATATGCATTTCGCTTTTTTGATATGTCTAAATATAATTTTTTGTTTCCGAACAGTTTAAAAATTACATCAAATACAAGCCGAATTGCAATTTACTCACATTTATTAAAAATGTTTTTAAATCGATTTAATTTTAATCAAATATTCTATAATTTGATACATACGTGTGCATGTTATACTGCCAAATAATTACCATAGTTGATAAATCGTATTTATTATTATTATATTACGTTATTATTATATTATTTTTCTTTATTATTTCTGTAATTATAAAAATTATACTATAATATCTCTTTATGAAACGCGGTAAAAAAAACTACTTTTAGTCAATAATAATTACATTTCGTAATATATTTTAAATCCCTAATTCCCAAAAGTCATTAAAAATATTAAGAATTTATCTTTTACGCACACAACAGAAAGAAAAAATGGAAATATTTTATATCTTAACTGCTAATGCTGTCTAATAAAATAATAAATGCGAATAATCTTTTAAACGATTCCTCAGCTAGTTCGCAGTTTAAATTATTCCATTTTATAAAAAAGTGAATACAAATTTAAAAAATAAAATAAATATAAATACATATTTCAGAAAATAGAACAGTACAAATATATAAAGTGGATTACATTTCATGAATTTTTATGCAATTTAAAACTTGTTTTCAATCTCTAGAACATGAAAATGTCTATAATGATTGTGATATCTATGATCATAAATATTTCAATAATTCCACACATATGTATATAAAAAAATGTGTAAACATATTTGTGTATGTATTATGATTATCGATTATATATAAATTGTAATATTGGCAATTATATATTTCTGTAGCGCTTTTTTAGTGGAGGGGGTATTTATTGACTATGCCAAATTTTTCGATAAATCGACTATTAAAAGAAAAAACTATATTTGATATTTATACGTAATTATTACAAATAAGGCAGCACTGCCATCTGTGAGTTTAATGGAGCAATTTCTAAAAGCAGCGGTTGGTAAAAGTTCAGAAAATGTACAATATATATATATTCAATAAAAAACATTAATTTTATATTTATATAAATTTGTATAAATAATCGTAATAATGATAAATAAATAATCGTAAATAAATTGAAATAAATTGTCTTAAAAACTTAATGACATTTATAATATATATAAAAGAAATATAAAATACTTATATTTTATTTTTAAGAACATCAAAATACAATTAATTTTATTTTTTTGCAGATTTATATTTTCCGTATAATATACATATATTTATACAATATATATGTGTGTGTGTGTGTGTGTGTGTGCAGACTAACTCTTTTCCCTTTTGTTAATAAATACATTTTTATCTACTCTTTTGAGATTATTATTGTTATTTTTGCGGCATTGTTGCTAATAAACAATAATATAATACCTTTTCATCAAGAAACATCTCTGCTATCCTTTTGGCTGTACAAAGAAATGTATATTCTAAACTTAATGATATATACCTAGTGTCATATGATTTATATCTTAATGTTCTAATAAAATTATTATTTTAAAACGCAATATACATTTAATAAACGGGAAAATTATCTCTGATTATAAAAATGCTTTGGTAATCTAATATAATGTTTCATATATATATATATATATAAACAATTTATGTTCAAGGCACAGTCGCATCAAATTCCTTGAATTGATATTACACGCCATAAACAGAAATAATTCTTAAATTAATGACTTATTAAATTAGTACTTATCAAAGAATCAAAACAACCAGAGACATTATCATATTCGTTATTTGAAAATAATTTATGTAGTCATACAGTCGCAAACTCTGCTTGTCGTTGTGAAGGATTATGGTACAAGCCAGCCATTGCTTCCTGCATTGCTCGTAGGCATGCAACGTGTGCTTTAAACCCACCTGCTCTGTCAACCTCACATTCATTACGTACATGTGAAACATATCCACGAGCTTGGATCTCTCGCCAACCAGGTGGTGATGGGCCCTCTATTTGTTGTCGAATCGATGTATAAGAATAGAGAGGTCCCTCTTCTATCTTTGGCACTGATATATAGTTTTGATTTCCCTGGTTACTAAATTTAATTCCCGTACTAAACTGAGTAGCTTTAACAGAAGCTTTCGCCTCCTTCTTTTTCTGTACCGCAAGGAAAGTTTCGATGATATTGTTTGCATCTGCGTCAGACAACGTTAATTCGTCTAACAGAGCTTGCTTATCGCGAATTTTTTTCTTCTTTGTTTCTATTTCTTCTTTCACAAGTTCTTTCTTCCTTTCTTCCTCTTTTTGCTTTTCTAACTCTATCATTTCCTCTAATTCATATTCGCTTCTGTTAAGTTTGGATTTACTTCTTGCTATTTGCTCTTTGTTATCTTTTTTATATTGCTCTATCTTTTTATTTGTTTCAACTATATCAATATTGTTTGCCAAATTATATATTATAGTTTCAATTTCCTCTAAGTAATCATTATACTCCCTTAACGTAGAAAAATCCTCCTCTTTTTTATTAAAATCTCGCAGGATACGTTTCCTTATATTCACTTCCTTTTCGACCATTGTATCTTCAAACATTTGAACTCGGAAGTTTGTTCTTCTCAGTGGAATTTTGCATTCTGGACAGGCTCCGGAACCTAAATAATTTAATTATAAGTATTATTGAAATATGGTACAATATTTACATTACATTGGGAATAATAAAAATTATAAAAATAGTAGATCAAAACCTTTTAAAAATAGTAAATCCACACAGCTTTCACATAATGAATGGCCACAAACATTCACCATCATTTTCAATGATGGATTTCGATATTTGGTGGTTTTGCACCGTGGACATGCTTGATCATCCATCTTCAAAAAAACGAAAAAGTAAAATAAAATAGTTTGGCAAAACATTTTTTTTCAATTTTTCTCTGATTCAAAATTTTCGATAAATCGACTATTAAAAGAAAAAACTATATTTGATATTTATACGTAATTATTACAAATAAGGCAGCACTGCCATCTGTGAGTTTAATGGAGCAATTTCTAAAAGCAGCGGTTGGTAAAAGTTCAGAAAATGTACAATATATATATATTCAATAAAAAACATTAATTTTATATTTATATAAATTTGTATAAATAATCGTAATAATGATAAATAAATAATCGTAAATAAATTGAAATAAATTGTCTTAAAAACTTAATGACATTTATAATATATATAAAAGAAATATAAAATACTTATATTTTATTTTTAAGAACATCAAAATACAATTAATTTTATTTTTTTGCAGATTTATATTTTCCGTATAATATACATATATTTATACAATATATATGTGTGTGTGTGTGTGTGTGTGTGCAGACTAACTCTTTTCCCTTTTGTTAATAAATACATTTTTATCTACTCTTTTGAGATTATTATTGTTATTTTTGCGGCATTGTTGCTAATAAACAATAATATAATACATTTTCATCAAGAAACATCTCTGCTATCCTTTTGGCTGTACAAAGAAATGTATATTCTAAACTTAATGATATATACCTAGTGTCATATGATTTATATCTTAATGTTCTAATAAAATTATTATTTTAAAACGCAATATACATTTAATAAACGGGAAAATTATCTCTGATTATAAAAATGCTTTGGTAATCTAATATAATGTTTCATATATATATATATATATAAACAATTTATGTTCAAGGCACAGTCGCATCAAATTCCTTGAATTGATATTACACGCCATAAACAGAAATAA